ACATAACACACGTGTGCATGTCCCCATGAGGTCGAGAAGAGGATGTTGGAACCACTTGAGCTGGAGCTACAGGCAGCTGTGCGCCCCTAGACTTGGGTGCGAGGAATGAAACTTGGGTCCCTGAGAAGAGCACCTAGTGCTCTCAACCAAGAGCCGTCTCTCTCCTGTCCCTGAAATTCCTGTTTTACCATTAAAAAATGGAAATGTTTTAGGGAAGCAGGGACAAGATTCCAAATGATCTACCCAGATCCAGGTTCAGCCTTTGGGTTATGTGGTCTATTTTGTAAGGGAAATAAGAATCTGTTCTCTTAACCTAGCAAATGTGTTAAATCACATTAATTCACAACAGTGTTATTTGATATTTGTGAGGGGTTGGGTTTCCCTCTTTAGGCATATTTCCCGAGAACTTTAGTGCTAACTCATCTCAAAGCAAGTGTTTCTCAGAGCTTCGATAGCTATGGTCATACCATAATTGCACACAGACTAATTACATTACAATTGACATATGACATATATGAAGAATCCTCCTACCAGAGTGCTGTGTTACATACAAACAGGAAGAAGAAGAAAAATGAGAAACAGATCTTTCAGATGAATTGATTTTGACCCATAGTTTCCCTTTATCATTTTTGAGGATATTCTAGCATTTTGTTAGAATTACAAAATAAATAAATAAATAAATAATCGACAAACTTACCAGGAACAGTGAAACAACACTAATTTCTTTTTTTGTCATTCTTGGTGCTTACTAGAAAGATTGTGTGCGAATTACACAGTTACCCAGAAAGCCAAAGCTGTTTTCAGAGATGCTGGAAGAAAGAATTTTTGAAACAATGTCAAGGAGAAAAGTATCTGAAAACAGATTACTTAAAATTTGTGTTTAATGATAATGGGTTTAGTCTTCCCTGGTGTAACATGATCAGATTATTATAAAGGAAGTTATGTGAGCCTGAGTAATTTCTTGATAATGATGTATTTAAAAAATAGCTAAATGGATGTTGCGTGGTATTAAGAATCTAATTATTTTGGCCCATTATAGTCTCATTGATATTCGCCATGTTTGTATGCTTGTAACATCTTTCACACAGATTTGCAATTACCGTCTGTAGTAATTAATTATAGTTTCACCATAGTTAAGTCAAAACATACTGCATTTAACCCATAAGAATGGAAGTCTAAAGTTAAAAGAGTATTGATGACTAAAAAAAAAAAAATATTGAAATTGCTTATAATTTCTCCATTTAAATTTATGCTTACATTGCTGTATTGGTGATTTCTGTCTAAAGGTATGGAATTACATTGAGTTTTAGTTTCTATGAAAATCTGCTCTAAGTGCGGTCATGGCAAGATTCATCTGTCTGGGCCCATAGCCTATAGATTTATCGTATTACAGCGTCATCATATCTAGAGTCACTAAACTACAGAGAGAATGGAACTGGTGTTGCTAAAAACTCAGCTTTTATACCATATTTTTTCTCTTTATCATAATGACAACTCGGAAGCCATGCTTCCTAACACCCTGGAACTACCTCTGGTGGGCTTTCTTACAGTATCAAGCTCTCCCCCAAGCAAACTTAATGAATTGTTTTACTGTGTTAGTCACATGATAAAGGGATATTTCCTTTAAGATTTCATAATTACTCAGTGAGTTTCATATCTAAGGACCCTATTTATCAAAGATGTCTAATGGCTTTGCTATAGCTGAGAAGATTTCAGGAAATGAATTCATTTTTAAAACCTTGGTTTGGTCACTTATAAAATACAAATAGTTATGCTAACCCCTAGATTTATTATAGAGATGAATATGAGAATAAGTGTAATGCACATATTCCGATATTCAGTAAAACTCTCAGATCTTTGCTGAAACTGATATCAGCATCATTAAGAAGCAAGCAGCCTCGTCACTACATTAAAAAAAAAAGTGTGTAAGCTGCACAGACCTGGTGCAGTTTCCAATAAGCGTGCCTCTTTCACCACGCTTCCAGAGTGGCTAGACTTCTCTTCAGACACTCAGAGAATTTATGATTCACATGTGAAATTATTATGGAGGCGATAACGCTTTAACCTTCTCACAAGAATTCACTAGAGTTACACATTGCTAAAACCTTGAAATATGTGAATACTAAATAGCTACCAGAATGCCTGGGCACGATCAACACCGTTAACCCTTGATTCCCTAATCCGTTTATTCAATCAGATACTCCATGAGTGCATACAGGGTGGAATTTCCTTCAAGTTGTTTGGATACTGACGTTACCCTTGGGAAGCTTGTATCGTTACACATGTGGCAAATACTGTACATTTACATGGCAGTGGAGTTACTGTGATACAATAAATGACAGAAACATCTCAAGAAGAAATGAACTTCACAGCTGTAGAAGGTTTCGTTCATTGCGTCAGGCAGTGTGACTGAGGGAGCTCAGTTCATGGAAATGGAAATGTGGGTGAAACTTATCATGGCAGATAGCAGAGAATGAGACAAGGCTATGGGGCTGGCTGGGCAGAGTATTCAGGGAAATGATCTCATTGATTAACCAGTGAAGTTATAACTTCTAATTCTACAGACTCCCCAAACAGAAACATCAGCCTGAAACACATACATTGAAGACCTGAGCTTGTAGGGGAAATTCCAGGTGCAGAGCATAAATTCTACTTCTGTCCCTCAAAGGCTTCTGGCACCTCATAATCCAATATATATTCAGTCCAACTTTAATAATCCTATAATCTGGGAGCTGGAGGGATGGCTCAGAGGCTAAGAGCACTGAGTTCATGAGTTCAATTCCCAGCAACCACATGGTGGCTCAAACAGTCTATAATGAAATCCAGTGCCCTCTTCTGACATGCAGGTGTATCTGCAGGCAGAACATTGTATACATGATAAATAAATAAATCTTAAAAAAAAAAAAAAGAATCCTATAATCTTAAAAATTCCAATAGTGTTCTGGATATGATGGACTATGCCCTGAATTCTAGTACTCAGGAGGCACAGGCAAGAGGGTCATTGTGAGTTCAAGGCCAACAGGTTTACATAGCAAGTTCTAGCTCATCCAGGACTACGTTGACAGAGTTTGTCCCAAAAAGTAACAACAAAATAAAACAGCATTAAAAAGCCTAAGACAAGGCAAACTCATATCTATGAGCATCTATGGAATAATAATTATACTATAAAGTTATATATTATTTGAATATGCAACAGAAACACGGGCACCAGGTGAATGTTGCAAAGCTCTTTTGCCAACTCAAACTGTAGCTGCTCGTTCTCTTATCATGGCTGTGATGCTCTCTGACTGTCTTTGTAATGGTGCTTCACACTTTAAAATCTCTGGCTTCCTTGTCTACCATTTTAAAGGAGACCATTTCCAAGCAAACTGTGTGTTTCCCTGATCTTTTCCTGCTTCTCTCTTCCCTCCTAGTTCTCTCTGTAGGCCTGGCTAGTAGAAATGAGCACTAAGTATGCCACAGATAAGAAGCTATGCTGTCACAAAATTTAATCTGCTAAGCCAATAAGTTTTTATAAGTTCATTCTTCCTTGCTCTAAATTTTAAGGCATGGGAAGAGTATAAAGCACATAACCTAGTTTAATAACAGTGTCTATTCTTACTCTCTGCATTTGCTTGGCCAATCCCATGTGGGTAGTCTTGGTTCAGCAATGACCCCACTCCTAGTACTAAATTTATGCATTAATTGCTGGTATATAACTGTCACAAAACAGCTAACATGTCAACTTAAAAAGAAGAATGAGGTTTTTTGACTTGTGATTTCAAAGTATTTAGTCCTTTATTCCTTGGCCCAATGTTTTTGACAAATCCTTGCAGTAGTGTAAGCACGCAGCAGAAAACAGTTGCATGTACCACAGTGGACAAAGAAAAAGATAGCAAGATAAGAAGTAGTGCCTTCTAACACACATTTCCAAGGCCAATGGTCACCAGCTAGAACCACCACATAAATTCCCCATAGGCTCCAAAATTATGCCTGAAGTTGAATCCTGAGTTTTCAAAAGCCTCTAGGGGATGTTTCATGTTTATACCACTGCAATTAGCAAACAGAAATGTGTGATATAATTTCAGGTGGAATTGGTAAATAAAAAGAGCACAGGGTCATGTCTTAAACAGAACCAGGGAGTCATGAGCACAAAATCAGGGAGTGGATCTCTGTCACACTGGTCTATAAGGAATAAAGCAAAGGTACTCAAGCAAAACTATCAGCAGTGTATGAAGCAGAAATGAATAGTGAGTTCAAATTAGATAGAAGAACAAGTCATTTTCAAGATCTGATATCACTGTGTAAGAAGTCTGGGTGTGTGTGTGAGAAAGAAAGCACAGACGGTTTTGACCAGCTTTTATGAGAATGAATTCTCACTCATGAGCTCTCACTCCCATGCCCCCTCTGGGTCTTTTGTTTTGTTTTGAGTTTTAGTTTTTGTTGTTTTTGTTTTTGACACAGGGTCTCACTCTGCATCCCAGACTGTCCTGGGACTCACTGTGGCCCACAGGTTGGCTCTTCAATCACAGTGCTTCTTCTTCTTCGACATCATGGGCACTGAGATTGAAAGTGTGAGCCACCACACCCCTCTGAGAGTGTTTTAATTTTTAAAGACAATTTAATAGAATGAAGACAGGGAGTTAGACCAGTGTCCACTGCAGAAAAAGTGGCTATAAAAGATGGAACTAAATCGGAATATGAGTTGCCCACAGAATCGTGACTATGGTGACGGTTAGTTGTAGATAATTAATGAGTGAATAGGTGGGTGAGCATTCCCAGGCTTTGATAGTATAAATGGAAATAACTTTTCCAAAGCCTAATTGTAACACACGCCATTGGTTCATATTGAGTTGTATACAGAAAGAAATATCCCATCACATTTTAACTGTTAGTGTATGGAACCATGAAGGTTTTTTTTTTTTTCTTTTATTTTCTACAAAGCCGTTCATTGTAAAAATCAGTTTATCTCCACTGATTCACTTTGCATTCATCCTGATAGACCAATCATTTCATTTCAGGGTTTGCCTGCAAGTCGGGTGAGGTATAGAGTGGATGATGTGCAATTTCCGTACCCTGCCAGCATTTTTGATGTAGAAGAAGATTCCGGAAGAGTAATAACCCGTGTCAATCTTAATGAAGAGCCTACAACAATTTTTAAGGTCAGTGTGCCATTTTCTTTGCGATGTCTATTTGATATTTATCACTGAGGGTTTTCCTTAACAACTGTCAAGATGATTTCTCTTTACATTTTTCTCTTTACTTTTTTAAAAAAAAAAAAACATTTCTCCTTGAAATTTAGAAAACGTAATTTTAAACAAAAGAATCACCTAATATTTTACATACTCGGCATAAGTAGATGCTGCTATTTAATCTTATAATAGAGTCTATGCTTTTCCATAATCATAATATTCAATTTATACTCAATTATGGACTCTCAATACCAATCAACATGTAATGCTGTTTTTCTAAATGGCTTTATAGTGTTCGACTTTGCAAGTAAACCATTAGAGTTTTCTTTGTATTTCTAATGCCGCAATAGTAGATAGTTAGGCTGCTGCTGTGATTTTCTAGCAAAGAACGCAATTGTTCTGAAACTACTTGTGTGAATGTCATTTTATACCTGTGCACAAGCATGAATGCCAGCAAGAATAATTGCAGAAGCAAATTCACACATTCTTGACAGATATTGCTTCTAGAAAATTTGGGGGAAAAAAATATCTTTTAACCTAGACTGAGTTGCTTTGTATTACTAACCTGTAATTTTTGCAAGAACATACATCTCTGTGGAAATGTTTGAAATGCCTTACCATAAATACTAGAACACTGCTTGGTATGTTATGGTTAAGGGAGTACAAATTAATATTGCAGTCATGATGCATAGCTATCACCTCATGAGAATAAAATCTCTTTCAGTTTATGTATTTCAGCAAGTCCCACTGTGCAGTATATGATCGTGGTTTTATAAGGACTAATTGTTTTAAGAGGTTATGTAACTAAGTGTTATGTAAATATTACAAATTGTATTCTCTAGAGAGAAACACTTCTGCTCTTTAAAGTCTGAGAAAACTCACCGAAATAATTAATTTCTCTTTATAAGTAAGCTAATTATCTTTTTGTTGCTGATACCATTGGATTTAACACCTTTTAAATAAGTGTGTTGGTGCTATGAAAGTGCGTTTCTCTTTCTTATAGGTGATACTGAATGTAGAAAACCTTTTAGAATTACATAGATACATGCGCTTCTAGGAGCTGGTTTTACTTAATAGAGTTAGTAACTCATTTGATTTTCCTTTTTTACTGGCAAATAAAAATGATATAACCTAGCTGGATGTTTATGAAAATTAGGAGAGAGTGTGGCATATTCTAACATGGTATCTCTTTCCTTAAAGGGAATAGTAAAACAATCACTTTTTCCACAACTGGAACCAGGAGCAAAATAGCAGAATCTTTGATGCAGTATGCTGGCATTTCCTCCTGTTTCTAACCCGTATGTGGATCCTGTCACTGTTTTAGCTGGTGGTTGTGGCTTTTGATGATGGAGAGCCTGTGATGTCCAGCAGCGCCACCGTGAGAATTCTTGTCTTACATCCTGGGGAGATCCCACGCTTCACCCAAGAGGAATATAGGTATGAATTTTTATCAGGCTTCGAAACACTACGTTTTTAGTGTGCCACAGAGGCACTCTCGAAACTGATCTGAGCTTACCAATGATGTTGGCTTCCAGTTCCAGCTTGATTTTAAGATTAGAATGAAACCTTTGGCAGTTTACCATGACTGACGAGAGCTTAGTACGTGGAGTTCTTTAGCAATGATTCAGTGAATGGCTGATCCTTTATAAACCATAAAGAAGCTTTGTTAAAAGGTAATTGTGTAGCTCTAAGTCATTAACGAACCCAGTAGTGAAAAGAGATTTTCCAGTTTTCACTGTTGCCAGTACAATGAGACCTCCGCCTCTGATGTGTGATCTACAGCTAAACTTTCCAGGTCATACGGCGTGTGTCTTAGTACCATGTTATCTGTGATAGCAAGGGCACTTTCAGCTCATCAATTGACAAGGCAATAATTCAGAATAACCAATGAATAACCAATGAGCCAGTCTAGAGAAATTCGGCAAAGAGCTATAAAATTTCTTGACGGTCAGTCAGAATCCTCTCATATGTGCTCTTACACTGGCACTGGCTAGTTATTATTATTAATATTATTATTAATATTATTATTATTATTATTTCTAAGCTACCAATTTCACTGACAGACCCTCACTGCAGTTAGTATCCATATTCTACTAATTGCAACGAGGGTCTAGTAACATCCGCATCCTACTGAGCTGACTTGAAGATGGTCGGGATTATCCCTCACAGTAGAGATAGATGGTCCATATCTGTGAGTCAGTGCCAACACTGGTTTAAGAGGGATGATGAAATATTTACCGGGTTCCAGAGAATTTAGGTAATTATGTCTCTTCTGAGACAAATTGGAAGTTGGAAGGTGACACTGATTGAGGCTCAAGAGCAAAAGAGATCTCTGATGACAGCGAGGTTCATCGTTTCTTTTTATTTGAACTTTAGCGCTTTATAGTTTAAAATAACTACTTGAGAGTTTGGAGCTCCAGCAGGGGTCGAGGCAGTGGGGGGTGAAATAAATGAGGATAGACCTGGGGACATCTGCTACAAGAAATTTTTATCTTTATAATACTATAGCTCAATATCAACTTCCATGACAGAACTCCTGGAAAATCCTCCAATGCAAGCACACTGACTGTAATCTAAAGTACATGTGAAACAAACAAAAGCCCATGAATAATGTAGCTACCAGTCTATTCCCTCTCACTAGGCTGTTCTGGAATGCTTTGCTCTTGGGTTGCTATGGACACAGTTTTCTCCTACTGGAGAGTTTGCCTGATGAGTTACTCTGGGTGTTTCAAGCACCAAGGTGGCAAATTCACATGGTTGTATTTTTGGGTTTTTTTTTTATTTTTGTTGTTGTTTTTGTTTGTTGTTGTTTTGTTTTGTTTCGTTTTGCTGGTTTTATGTCAACTTGATAGAGGCTAGAGTCATATCGGAAGAAGGAAACTCAATTGAGAAAATGCCTACATGCTTTAAGCAAGCCTACAGGCTTTTACTTAATTAGTGATTGATTGGCAGGGGGGGAATTGGCAGGATTGATTGGCAGGAGAGGCCAAGCTTGTGGGTGGGACCATGCCTGGGCTGGTGGTCCTGGGCTCTATAAGAAAGCAGGCTGAGCAAGCCATGAGGAGCACAGCACCTCTCCATGGCCTCTGCATCAGCTCTTGCCACCAGGTTCCTGTCCTGTTTGAGTCCATGCTTTAACTTCCTTTGATGATGGTCTATGATAGAAAGTGGAAGTTGAAATAAACCTTTTCTTCCAGGGTTGTTTATGGTCTTGGTATTTAATCATAGCAATAGAAACCCCAACTAAGACATTATATTTTTCCCCGTCTTTGCTGGTGCCCTCACAATAATGAAATTCTAGTGAATGAAATTCCCACTTTGCTTCTCCTGACTGTTCACCTTCATTCTAATCCATCCTGGAAAACCCTAAGAGGGAAAAAACAACAACAAACAATCCACAGCTGATGTCAGAGTGAACATTTCCCTTTTAGTAAACTCTGGACATCCCACCCTTCCTCTGTGCCCCAGCTTGGGGCTTGGCTTGTTCCCTTTTAGTTCCTGTGTGCCTCAGATCTCAGAGGATCACGTTGATCCTTGTCTCCTTCATCTAAAACCTTCAGGCTTTGAGGACAAGGTCGTGATGAGAATCTGAACATTGTTCGTTTAGCTTTCTTCTCTATGTGTCCTTCCTTGTTCGATACTAACTTTGAAAAACACAAATGTTGTGCTCAATAAATAATTTAGCATTATTCCCTACCGCGTCTGAATATAAATACCAGCTACAAATAGATTCTATTAATAAAGTGGTTAACTTAGAGAACAAAAAAAAAAATTGCCAATTATCTGGTGTCACAATTAAGAGAAGTCACAAGACCTATAAGAGGGTTCTGTTCTGACCTTGAGGAAATTTCTAACAGCTACAGACTCTCCCTGGCTGTCTCAGTTCTTTGATGTTCTGAATCAGACAGAAGACTTGGCAGTCTTATAACTTATTGTTTATGGCTAGAATCCATGTTACTGTTGGAAGGGATTCAGGAGAATTAAGTCCTAAAAATGATGGCCTTGCTTTCTACTAGCACCCAGGAAATTTTGGGATAAAACAATAATAATGCAAATATGAGCAGAAGCTATTACTTTGATGATTGATGCCAATATCCAGTGGTGATGTCTAGGCGACTCGGGAAAAAATCCTTTCCAACAAGTGACCACATTTAAAGATTTATCTTAGGAATTTAAACTGAATTCTTGCTACTCATGGCAGTATCTCCCACTGACCCAACTGTTTTGCATGTGTTGGAACTTCAACTTGTATCACTCAGTCTCCCAAAAGGGAAACTCAGAACCATGGACGACTGAGCAATTGAAAGCCACACACTTATCTCACGTGTCAGTTAGTAGTGAGTGCATCTCTTTTCATGGCGGCCAGGAAATGGAGATTTCAGAAAGCAGTTACCCAGGGGCCTTCCCATTTCCCCTTTAACTCTATTTGGGCCTCAGCCTATGGGGTAGCACCACCAGTTTCAAGACAGGCCTTTCTACATTAGTGAATCCTCTCTGTAATTACCCAGAGGTTCACACCCAGAAGTGTGCTCTCCTCATCTCCCAGGACACCTCAGTCTAAACCAAGTGTAAAATAGGATCAAACATGAAATTATATAACCCATCAACATGAAGATGTTGATGCTTTATTCTGACCTCTGTCCTCATCCTCACTCTCTGACGTTTCCCTAAAATAAAGATTTTAAAAAGCTGGAGGCACTTTGTTGTTGGAACGCATCCTGGCCTCGGAATCTTTCCAGATTCTTTTTCTTTTGTTTAATTATGTCTTCTCCCTGTCCCTTTTCAGAGACCAAAGTTCAAGTAATAGTACCTACCTTGAATGATATAAGTTATTAGGGAAGGACTATGTGTGTGAGAAAGAAAGAGAGAGAGAGACACACAGAGAGAGAGAGAGAGCTTCATATCTTTATTTAAACCATTTCTTACAATTTGGCTTGCATTTAAAGCTAGAATCACCTACTTAAAAAAATCTGTTCTCAAACATTTTTCATGTCATTACTGGACCTGATAATTTACAACTTGGTTAAACTTAAAATCCTTGCCACAAGGTTCAATATGCTGAGATTTTTTTTTCTTTTGTAATTTTTATTTTTATTTATTTTGTGTATATGTTTATGATGGGTGGTCCACGTGTCATCATGTGTATGTGTGGACAAATTTGTGAAGTCAGTTCCCTCCTCTCACTTCCTTGTGCGTTTGGGGATCAAACTCAAGGCAAGTACTTTTTACCCATTGAGCCACTTCCCTAGCCTAAGCTGTCTAAATCATTCACTTGCACAGAGCTTGCCCCTTTCATTCTTTGAACCACTGTGAATGTTAGGAAGTTGTTCATATATCAATACAGCAGTAATTAGATTCATTTTCTTAAATTATTTCTGATTCATTCTTCTTGGAGCATTCATCCATTTTATTATCCCCTCTGTATTCCAAGTAGTATGACTAAAACTGAGCTTAAGGCCTTCTGTGAGAGTGTAATCAGCATTTTCTACTACTTTCTTCCACCCCTCTTCTTCTTCCCTTTTCTTTTCTTTTAATTTAAATTTTTTTATGATCTATTCATTTTACATCCCAAATGTAGCCCCTCCCTCATCTCCTTCCGGTCCTACCCTCCCTCCCTCTTCCCCCCATTCTCCTCCCCTGTTTCTCAGAAAAGGGGAGCCCTCCTCGCCTACCATCTGACCCCTGCCTATCAAGTCTCATTAGGACTGCCTGCATCTTTTCCCTCTGTGACCTTTCCATGCCCCCCAACCAGGGGGAAAAGATCAAACCGCAGGGAACAGAGTTCATGTCAGAGGCAGCCCCTGCTCCCCTGACTAGGGAACCCACATGGAAACTCATCTGCTTATGGGCTATGTCTGAGCAGGGGGTCTAGGTCCTTTTCAGACATGGACCTTGGTTGTTGCAGGCCCTCATGGATCCAGATTTGTTGGCTCTGTTAGTGTTCTTATAGAGCTCTTCTCTGCTCTGCTCTGCTCTGGGTCCTTCTATTGGCCCACTCTTCCTATGACTCCCAGTTCTCTACCAAAAGTTTGGCTGCTTCAATGCCCTGCTGGCCAGAGTCTTTCAGAGGACATTTATGGAAGGCTCCCATCCTGTTCCCTCTCTTCAAATGCTTTCAGTGTCTACTCTATTTGCCTTTCTGAATGAGAATTAAGCATCCTTCCTAGGGTCCTCCTAGTTATTTAGTTTCTTTAGGTCTTTGGATTATAGTATGATTATCCTGAAGAAGATATCAGAAGATGGAAAGATCTCCTATGCTCATGGATCAGTAGGATCAACATAGTAAAAATGGTCATCCTACCAAAAGCAATATACAAATTCAATGCAATTCCCATCAAAATACCAACACAATTCTTTACACACCTTGAAAGAATAATTCTTAACTTCATATGGAAAAGCAAAAACCCAGAATAGATAAAAGAATCTGGTAAGATAAA